TCTTATTTAACTCCTTAACATTCTCAAGAGGCAAATTTCATTATTATCCATATTTTACAGGTGATAAAATTAAAGCTTAGAGAGGTTAAGTAAATTGTCTACATGACACAACTTGTGAGTAGTTGAGAGTGATTTATACTTGGGAAATTGGACAACAGGTTGTTGCTCTTGTTGTTGTTGTGTGCCATGGAGTCAGTTGCGACTCATAGCGACCCTGTACAGGGTTTCCAAGGCTGTAAATCTTTACGGGAACAGAAAGCCTCATCTTTCTCCCATGGAACAGCTGGTAGTTTCGAACTGCTGACCTTGAGATTAGCAGCCCAATTCATAACCACATTGCTTAGATTATATAATACTATTTTATTATTTTACATGTGGGAGGTTTGTGACCTAAGGATACTAAATGACATCCCGCGTCACACACCTAACCAGGGCTGGATTTTTAATTTGATCCCTCCACATTTCTTGTTTGCCTTTCTGTTCCACCATCATTTGCAACTAAGATGATGGATTTTCACTCAATTTGATCTAGATAAGATTGGTTAAGCCTATTTTGAATTCACAGGATGTACAATGTTAAGTGTAAATGTATGGCCCCCCTCCCAAACACATATACACTAGGAGGTAGAGTTTTATGTATAAATGGTGAGCTCCAACACATGTTGACGCTATGCACAACAAAATACAGCATTGCCCAGGCCTGCACTACACCTACAATCTATGGCATATCAAACTATAAAAATGTTCCAGCAAGTATACATGTGACCCAGAGAGGGAAAACCAGTCTTCTGGTCTATGGGACAGGCATCATTCCAGGGATCAGAGACATGTCTCTGTACCATGCAACCCATTCTGGGGAAGAACAGTCAGAAATATGGAAGAGCTGGTGTTCTGAGGAAAATGTCAGAGTATGGGTCGGAACCGACTCGAAGGCACTTAACAACAACAACAACAATTCATCTATTACTGTCTGGTTATTTATTTATTGCTGCTTCACAAACCACCCCAAGTTTAGTGTAGCACCACACCAGGACTGGCAGGATTGTAGTTGTTAAGTGCCGTTGAGTCAGTTCTGACCCAAAGTGACCCTGTATAGGCTTTCCGAGGAGCGACTGGTGAGCTTGAATCACCGACCTTGTGGTTCAAACTGACTTTGCAGTCCAGCTCATTAACCCGCAGTGCCACACCAGGGCTCTGCAATTAGTGGCAGTTATTTTGATGAGGTAGGATGTAATCTGCAGGATTAGGTTGTATCTTGAGCCAGTCTCTTTTGAGACTTTGAGACTTGATTGGTTTTCTGAGCGTAAACAGCAGAGTATGGAACGGAAACATCTTTAATCGCCAACCAAAGAAAAGTTCAAAAGTCAACCATCAGCTGGAAAATTGACACTTATAGTTTCCTAGGATCCTCAAGGGCCAGTATTGGAACACTGTCAGGAAAAAGTTCAGCAATCAGCAGTGTTCATTACAGCGAGGTGCTCAATGAACAGCTGAGGCCTAAACTTCAGATTAAACCCAGAGGACTGCTATCCAAGGGCTTTGGGATCTTGCATGAAAAATGCATGTCTGCACTGTTGACACACTGCAAAAACTTCATTTTGGGCTGTTAAAACATCCTCCCTATAATCCTGATCTTGCTCCGTGGAGCTTTCACCTGTTTGATACCCAGAAAGCAGCCCTTTGAGGACGAAGATTCACATCTGATGAAGAAGCGAAGACGGGTGCCTTTGTGGCTTTCAACTCAGCCGAAAACATTTTTTAATAAGGAAATACAAAAGCTTGTTGACAGATGGACAAAGTGTACTGAAAAGTGAGGAGATTATGTCAAAAAATGATATATTTGTCTTTTGTAAAAGTTGATTAAGTTTTTCAGCCAGAGTGGGGATATGTTTTGACTTTCCCCTTTGTAGTCTGGAAGAAGTGGGCTTCATCCAGTGCAGTCAGCACTGAGTTGACTGATTTGTGGAGAGTCCCTGCACATAAAGTAGACTTGCTCTCCATAGAAGCAGATCCTCATGCTTTTCTTTGTGGGGGTTTCTCTAGGTGGGTTTAATTTGCCCATTTTTCAGGTAGTTGCTGAACACTTAGCCCTTTGTCACACTTAGAGATGCCACTAACTTCATCGGCCTTCATCTTTTGCCACTTAATTACTTACCTCTCCTCTCAAGACAGAATTTTGGTGTGGCACTGTAGGATAGGCACAGGACTTCTAACCACAAGGTTAGCAGTTCAAACCCACCAGCCACTTCTTGGAAACCCTATACAGGGTCTTTACGAGTCAGAACTGACTCGATGGCATTAAACAACAACAACTTTTCAAGAAGACTTTGAATTAAGGCTTTCTTAAGGTTTCAGATACTAGTGTGGCTCTGTAGGATAAGCACTGGACTGCTAGCCACCAATCACACCTCGGAAATCCTATGCAGGGTCGCTGTGAGTTGGAACTGACTTGACAACACTTAACAACAACAAGTCTTCAAATATAATTTGTTACTAATGTCTGGCAGTTGGATTGACCATATAGGTGGCAAGAAGTGCTTCATGGATTGCAGGATGTACCTGGGCTGAAGTCCCTGAGTGAGTCACTTTTTTGTGGCTTAGTGAAATGGGCATATATATAAACATGGAGAAATGGAAAAATTCATTTTGCTGAAGAATGCTTAGAGAATTTAGACTTTTACCCTAAGAAAAACTTTTGGAAGGGTCAAGCTGGGAATAGAGCTTCCTCATTGTCCACTTCCTACCCCCATAACACACACACACACACACACACACTAGTGTCAATTCCTCTCCTGCTTCAAAAGCTTTCTGTATCTTGGTCTGATGACCGCTGGCCCTGCACACCCTTCAACTAATCTCCTTCCTGACACTTTTTAGAATTTTCTTCTTTTCAGCCAAAATAATGGCGGTGATTTGAGATTTTCTTTTTGGACTGTAATAGAAAGTATCCATATTACATGCAGAGCATTTCAAAACAAGGATTTGTCCAAAGGAGTAAAGTAAACAAGAGCTCAGGTTTGAACTGTGGTTGGAGAGTCCTTAGTCATACTCTATAGGACTTTCAAGCTAGATAGTTCCACGTTCCTGCACAGTTTGAATTGGCCCATTCTTTTCCTGAAGTTACCAGGGTCTATTGTCTTTGTTCTTTTTTATTAGTGGGTTGGGGATGAGGGGCAGTGATGACTCAAGGATAGAATTCTCACCTTCCATGTGGGAAACCCGAGTTCACTTCCAAGACAATGCACCTCATGTACAGTCATGACCTCTCTGTCTACTAGTGTGTTGGTATAATCCTTAACAGCTTTCAACTTCCACACTAAGATGGGCTAGGAAGAAAGGTCTGGCAATCAACTTGTGAAAATGAAAACCCTGTGGATCACAATGGTTCGATTCTGTTGTACGTGGGATCACCATGAGTCAGGGGGCCTCTAGACAACAATAGCAATCTCTCAGTGACCTTTATCCTGTGTAGACTTGCTTTTGAGAAGCTCCAAACACTCAGCTTGCCAAGACATGGGCCATATTTAGTCTTTTAAATCCCTTCAAGAAAGGAGATGACCCAGAAAGGGGACTGCCAGACAGAGAGGAGAGCAGGACCTGTGTTGTAACAGGAAGAGCCTTGATCACAGCTGAGTTCCCCTCAGGTTGAGGCCAGGCCGGACCACTTTGAGGGGGAGACTGAGCAGAGGGGCCACAGTTCTAGAGTGTGAGACAATTGAGAGTCATCAAACTCAACCCCTGTGACTATCCTCTTTGATCTTTCCATGGCTCCCTCTCACGCTCTGTATAAAGTTCAGGATCTGTTAGGGCTCCCAAGAGGAAATAGTGTCCGTCACTTGATGGATGGAGCAACAAACAGGTACAAGAAAAAAGGAATTTATGGTGGCCATCTTTGGGGACTATAGTGCTGATGTGGTGCTGTGGGTTAATGCGGCAGACTGCAAAGCCATTTGAAGTGCAAGGTTGGCAGTTCAAGCTCACCAGCTACTCCTTGGAAACCCTATACAGGGTCACTATGGGTCAAATCGACTTGACGGCACTTAACAACAACAACAATCTTTGAGGTTATCAGGGCCTTAGACTCTTTTCTTTCTTTCTGCGTCTTTATCCACAACACTGGCTTCACTTCATGGTCAAGATGGCTACTGAAGGTCTTGCCAGCAGGAAGGAGGAAGGAGGTCATTCCCTGCTTTGTTGCTGCTGTTCGTTGCCATCGAATTGGCTCTGATTCATGATATATGTATGACGGGATGAAACATGCCAGCTTCATGATCATCATTGGTATGTTTGAACCCATTGATGTGGCCTTAGTGTGTATTTTGAGTGTCTTTTATCCTAGGTGTCACCCTTCCAGCACTCTATTGGACAACAATCCGTTGTGATCCAGAGAGTTTTGTTGGCTACTCTGCTTGACCATGGAAGCTCCATTGAAACCTATCTATCATGAATTACAATGTTGGTGTGTGAAATACCAATGCCATAGCTTCCAGCATCATAGCAACATATAAGCCACCACAGTATGACAAACTGACAGACGGTCGACTCTCCTAAAAGGAAGCTAGAGTCACATGGCCCTTCTTTGCTATAAGGCTGCGAGATATAGCAGTGTGCCTGACTAAAAATCAGAAGTCCTTCATGAGGAAGGCAGGGAGAAGGTGATTGAGAAGAACTGTTAGTCTCTGTCCCATTTCCCCATAGCCAAAACCTGCTTGTAATTTTTAGATGACAGAACCACAGCCAGATCAAGCCTGTTGTTGTTAAGTGCTGTTGAGTTGGTACCTGTATAGGTTCCGAGGAGTGACTGGTGAGCTTGAACCGCCAACCTTGCAGTTCAAACAGCTTTGCAGTCTAGCGCATTAACCCACAGTGCCGCATCAGGACTCCTTATCCTAGAGGCCCAGAAAGGTAGGCTCCTGGAGTGAGCCACAGGGATGTTCTGAGTGCTGATAGTTCCTGCCCAGTCTTACCTAGAGCCCTCACAGCCTCTCTCTGCCTTCCAGTTCACCACAGGCTCCTGCGATGACTCAGATGTTCACAGCTGTGACATTTGTGGCAAGGGCTTCCGCCTACAGCGAATGCTCAACCGGCACCTCAAATCCCATAACCAGGTGAAGAGGCACCAGTGCACCTTCTGTGGCAAGGGCTTCAATGACACCTTTGACCTGAAGAGGCATAACCGCACACATACAGGTGAGGAGGGGCAATTATTTTTCTGGCCAATAGTTCCTTTTCCTTTCCAAACCAAGAACCAATTCGGCAGAATGGAGCAGTGTAGTATTTGTGGAAAGAATGCCGGAACAGGATATTGGTGGCTAGTCTACCTGGGTTCACCTCTTAATCCATCACCTGACAGCTGTATCATCTTGGGCCAGGCAAGCCACCTCTCAGCCTCAGCTTTTACTCCTGTAAAATAATACATGTTCTAGTGAGACTGAGAACAAATAACTACCTGGAAGGATTTGGGGAATTATGACATGTGAAACAAATTCTGCACGGTATCGTAATCCAACCCCCTAGGTCCTTGTTGGTTACTAGATGTGGTTCCCACTGGTGGTATTTTATGTCCCTCTCAAGTGAAGTAAGCCTGGCTCAACATAGTGTCATATTCCTACTGAGAGCTTGAAAGGAGAAAACAGTCAGGTCACTTGGAACTGACCCTTTACTCTTACTTGAGTTTTTTTCTCCCCTTGGACTTTTCCCATTTTCCTACTAATAAAGTTTGGATCTGTTTCTCCCCAGCTCCATTCACAGCTCCATTCCTACCAGTATCTTCTCATATTTCTCCTGTTCCTTCTGATTGGTTGTAAGTCTTGTTAATTTTATCTCAGAAACATCTGATCTCCAGGCTTCTTCTCTTGGATCCATATTCCACACCTTTTGCCAGAGTGATCTCTTAAGGAGAAATCTGAGAATGCCACATTCCTGCTCGAAAATACCCAACACTGATCAGGATGAAATCCAAACTCCTCACCATGTTGGATTTCATGTAAAGTCCTTCTATCAAACCCTAATCCTATCCAGTGTCATCCTATGCCAACCCATTCCATCCTATCCTATCTCAGTTTATCCCATCACATCTCACCCCATTCCACCCCATGCTAACTTGCCCCATCCCAATCCTATCCCAACCCTGGCAAAGTTGTGAAATAATGGATCCAAGAGGAGAAGCCTGGAGACCAGATGTTTCTGAAATAAAATTAATTCCACCTCCTTCCTAATCCAGCCCATTCCATCAGTTCTGTCTTAATTATGTAGTGTTGTTGTAACAGAAATACCACAAGTAGATGGCTTGAACAAATGGAAATTTATTCTCTTACAGTTTGTTGTTGTTAAGTGCCATGGAGTTGGTTCTGACTCATAGTGACCCTGCACAGGGTTTCCAAGACTGTAAATCTTTACGGGAACAGAATGCATCATCTTTCTCTCATGGAACCGCTGGTAGTTTCGAACTGATGACCTTGCGGTTCACAGCCTGATTCGTAACCGCTATGCTACCAGAAATATCTGACTTCGGAGCCTCAGTTCCAAGGAAAGGCTTTCTCTCTCTCTGTTGGCTCTGAGGGGAGGCCCTTGTCATTAATCTTCCCCCAGGTCTAGGAGTTTCTCAGCACAGGGACCCCAGATCAAAACAACATGTTCTATTCATGGTTCTTCTTTCTTGGTAGTAGAAGGTCCCTGTTTTTCTTCGCACTTCTTTGTCCTTTCATCTCATATAAGATGAAAGGTGATGTAGGCCACACCAGGGAGATTCACCAGATATCCATCAGGACTATGAGCCGATTAAAGGTGTTACATCCTACCCTAATTCCCTTACAACTGAATGGCTGATCACATCATGGGGTGATTCCATCGTTATGTAACTGCCCAAAAGAATTATGGCCCAGCCAAGATTTGGGGGGAACACAATTCAATCTATGACATTGTGTCATCCTATCTCATCGTATCCTGTCCCATCTCATCCCGTCCCATCTCATTTTGTCACATGTCATTCAAATTTGCCCCAGCCTGTTCCATTCAAGATCATCCAACCCAACACCCAATCCTCTCTATTTGTTGTTGTTAAGTGCTGTCTGGTTAGTTCCGACTCATAGCAACCCTGTATAGAGATTCTGAAGAGCGACTAGTGAGCTTGAGACACCGACCTTGTGGTTCAAACCAACTTGACAGTCCAGCACATTAACCTGCAGCACCAAAGCAGGACTCCTACCCTCCTGACTTGTACAGGGGTTATCTGAGATGACCTTGTGGTAGGCTGACAGGTGTGGGTGGGACATTGACATGCATAGTGGTTGGTTACAAATCGGGCTGCCCACCTCAGGGTCAGCAGTTCGAAACTACCAGCTGTTCCTTGTGAGAAAGATGAGGCTTTCTGCTCCCGTAAAGATTTACAGCCTCAGAAACCTTGTACAGGGTCGCCATGAGTCGGAACCGACTCCACAGCACATAACAACAACAACAACCCCAGGGAGGAATGGGAAATTGGCCTCCCAAAATATGTATCAACTTGGCTAGGTCTTGATTCTCAGTATTATGTGATTACCCTCCATTTTGTGACCTGATTTAATTATCCTTCATGTTGTAAATCCTAACCTCTATCATGTTAATCAGGCAGGTTTGGAACAGTTATGTTAATGAGGCAGGATGCAATCTATAGGATTAAGGTGTTTGAGATACCTCTTTTGAGATAAAAAAGAGATTAAACAAGTGAGCAGAGATCAGAGGGACCTAAGTGACACCAAGTATGAAGAACTGGGAGAAAAGGGCATCCTTTGGATCCAGGGTCCCTGTGCTGGGAACCTTCCAGACCCAGAGGAAGATTGATGCCAAGACACATCGAGATCTCCAAGGGATACCAAGTTCATAGATGTTGAAAGGAGACAAGGACCTTCCCCCAGAGCTGACAGAGAGACAAAGCCTTCCCCTAGAGTTGGTGACCTGAATTCAGACTGCTGGCCTCCTAAATTGTGAAAGAATAAAATTTTGTTTGTTAAAGCCATCCACTTGTGGTATGCCCTCTATGAAGGCACTAGGTGACTCAGCAGAGCCTGGGAGATCCTTAAGAAGATAGCATGGCTTCTCAGGTAGCAGCTGACTATAAATGGTTAGTTTCCTACATACTAGGCTGTCAGTATTTGTCCTGTCATCTCACACAATTAATGAGGCAGTTATTACCCTCATTTCATGAATGGGGAAACTGAAGTTCATGAAGATCAACTACTCATAAGTGGTGAAGTTGGGAGCCACAATTGGCTGGCCTTGCAGTTCATAGTTTTTATCCTTTATCTAGTCCCCTCCACCACTCATCTGTCACTTTGTCCTACGGTGATGGCTTGTGTGTTTCTGTGACACTGGTATTTTAAATACTAGCTGGATCACCCATGGTGGGCAAGTTTCAGTGGAGTTTACAGTCTAAGACAGACTGGAAAGAAGGAGAGGTGAACTACTTCTGAATGTTTAGCCACTGAAAACCTTATATAATGGCAGCAGAGTGAGGGAAAAAAGGACGTGTCCTATGGCCCCTCAAGTCCCTGGACTGAGGGGCTCAGACCTTCTCTATTTCACTCTCTTCAAAGGAACTACTTTTAGTAACTCCCGTGTTGTTGTTGTTAGTTACCAAGGAGTTGATTCCAACTCATGGGCTGATAGTCATTAGATGGGTGAATAAAAATGCCTTCCACCTGAGGGAAAGCTTTGACGCCATCCCAGAGTGCTTCACACATTTTATCTCATTAGAAACCCAAACCCAAATCCACTGAGTTGACTTCCACTCATAGCAACCCTGTCAGGCAGCAGAGCTGCCCCACAGGGTCTCCAAGACCAGGAATTTACAGTAGTACACTGCCACATTTTTCACCTGCAGAGCAGCCAGTCGGTTCAAATCTCTGATCTTTTGGTTTGCAGTCTAGCACTTTCACCACTGTGCTACCAGGACTCCTATCCTATCAGAGAAAAGACTCATTCATAGGGGGCGTTGAGAAGTGGGGAAACCTAGAGCTGTGCTTGTCAGTCCAGCAGCCCTGACCACATGTGGCTGTTGATCCCCTGAAGTGTGGCAGCCTTATGTAGATGGACTGTGGGTGTAATATGTACACTAGATTCTGAAAACTTAATGTGAACTAGAATATAAAATGACCCATTCATAATTTACTATATTGAATTCACATTGAAACCGTCATATTTTTACTGTATTAGGTTAAATATATTGTTAAAACTAATTTGACCTGTTTCTTTTTAGATTTTTAACTTGGCTGCTAGAAAAAATTAAATTGCAAAATGGTCACTTAAGTTTGCATCATCATTTTGATTGGAAAGCTTTAGCTGACTGAATTGAATGTACAGGATAACCATTTTTTAAAATTTTGTTGTTAATTGAAGTGCTCTAGAGTTGGTTCCAACTCACAGCAGTCTTGTACAGGGTTTCTAAGGAATGACTGGTAGATTTGAAACATCAGCCTTACAGTTAGAAGTCCAATGCTTATTCTGTATCCCCACACCAGGGCTTTCTTATAAATTTTACTCAGTTTAATTACTCATGAAGTGATTAACAAATGGAACTGTGAAAATGTCTGGGATTGGTTTTCCCTGTCCTGACCTATTTTTTGATGGAGTACCAGAGTAAGGAGCAGTTGTTGCCATTGTTAGTTGCCTTCACGTCAGCTCTGATTCAGGACAATCCTATGTACAACAGAATGAAACAATTGCCTGGTCCTTTGCCATCTTCAGGATTGTTGGTATGCTCCAGGTCAGTGTTGCAGCCACAGGATGTTGAGTGCCTTTAAGCCAAGGGATTCATCTTCCAGCACTGAATCAGACAGTAGTCTTACTGAGATGATGCTCTGGCTCATCAGCTGGCAAACAGCAATAACCTACTGGCTTCAGGGGCCTGCCCTGCCATCTCTTGAACTCCATACCAAACAGACAATCAGTAAAAAAAAGAGTGAAACTTAGAGGTTTCAGACAGATTTTAAGTTCTTTGAGCCAACATCTCTAGCTTTCACTTTGTTGTGCTGTGGTGGCTTAGAGGTTGCTGTGATGCTGGAAGCTATACCACTGATACTTCATATACCAGCAGGATCACCGAGGGTGGACAGGTTTCAGCAGAGCTTCCAGACTCAGAGAAAGACTAGGTGGTCCCCTTCTGAGAGATTAGCCTCTGAAAATCATATGAATAGCAGTAAAAGTAAAAGTGG